TTCTATGTAAATTATAATTGTCTAGTATACATAAATGTAATAATAATATTTTTAAAAGATTTTAACTTAGTAGGAAAAGAAATTATATTTGTTCACGATGCCGTGCACTTTCCGCTCAACGCCTTTTTCATGCTTAATCTGTCCTTTGTCTCCCGTTATCTTAACCGGCTTAAATTGTAAAATGACAGAAACTACTCGTTCAAAAATTAAGATAGTTTATAAAATCGTGAAATAATTATAGTTTTGATTCTGATTTTTGAATAAATGATAAATGAGAGGTATAGTTAAAAATCACATTTCACGTCATTCTTTATACGTATGGATATTNCTGTCCTTTATCTCCCGTTATCTTAACCGGCTTAAATTGTAATATGACAAAAACTATTCGTTCAAAAATTAAAATAGTTTATAAAATCGTGAAATCATTATAGTTTTGATTCTGATTTTTGAACAAATGATAAATAAGAGGTATAGTTAAAAATCATATTTCATGTAGTATACGATTTATGTCTTAATTGAATAGTTATGGGAAAACCATTGATAATATGTTATGATACATCTATTTGAAACTTAATGTCACTTAGTTTCCGTGGTCGAGGCAATGTGGTAAAATTGTTATAGTCCCTTAACGGGAGGTTAAAAATTAAAATTTAAATGCATACACGATAATATTCTACATAATTAGTTGCACTAATAATAATTATACTCATAAAAACATACACCTTTGTTATATTTTAATTTGTAATTTGTATTAGTATTCAAGTATATATATATAAATATTAAATTGATTTAACGGGAAAGCATTTCGGCATCATTAAAGTACAAAATTACTATTGTTTTCTTGATTGAATGGTTATTGGAAAACCCACGGTATTGTGTAATGACATACCTATTTTTAACTTAATGTCACTGAGTTTCATATCCGTGTGCACACTGAAGTTCCGTAAAACGTCACTGATTAAAAGTGTCATAAAAACCAAACTGAATTTCATTCCTGAAATTGAAAACAAACGTTTAATAAATTTAAAAATTACAAGTCGAATATTTTGTCATACCTATACAGCTTCTTGGACCACCACTAAAAGCAATTAAACTATATTTATGACGACTAGCGACATTGTCGGCATTGAAGTTATCCGGATTAAATGATTTGGGATTAGGATACAGCTCAGGATTCCGATGTGTAATCAAAGGAGTTATACAACATATTGTTCCTTTTGGCAACGTGTGATTACCTGTAACTAAAAGCAATTGTTATTTTATTTTGTTTTATACTTTTTAATATACATTTTATTCTTACTAATTGTGACATCATCTTGCAGTTGCCTCAACATAACTGGTGCAATCGGAAATAAACGGAGAGTTTCGTGTATTACTTGTTTCAAATAAACTAGACTAGTCGTTTGTTCGATAGTAATTGGTTCATCACTGTCACCTAATATGCTATAAATTTCGTCGTAAACTCTGTCCTTAAAACAATATTTTTGAAACGTATTTTAATATCAAATACTTAAACAGCAAAAACTATTTAATAACTTACTTGAATATCCGGATAGATAGCTAATAACAAAAGACAATAACTAACAGTCAATGAAGTAGTTTCGAAACCCTATAAATATAATAATTATTCATTGCTTGTGGTATCAAAGTATTTGGAGTATTTTGATCTTACACCCGCTACTATAGTTATCACATGACTCTTAATATCCTCATCGCTCAAGCCCAATCCGGCTTCGTTTGAGTCCATTAAAGTTTCTACTAATCCTTTAAAACATTTCTCTAAATAATTAAAAAAAAAAAACCACTTTTAGTTATAATAACTTGTACAATTACAGAATTTAAATTTATCAATTTTTTTGGATTAACTCAATTAACACATTAACCACCTACAGTTTGGTTAATAAAAAACTATCCGGTCGTATTTTATTAAAACAATCACTTACTTTCGCTCTCCTTTACATCTGTGTCTGTATTGAATTTATTTTTAAATTTTTGTGCAAATTCATTTTTCTTTTTCTCGATTATCTGAAAAATTAAAATTAAAATTAAAAAGCATTTTATCTATTTTTATATCTCACATACACATACATGCTTTGGTAAGTTTTGTACATTTGTATAATATTTTTCATAGTCAAACAATTTGATATAAAGATTATATATAATTTCAGGATACAACCAAACTTTAGTTGCTCTATTAAATATCAAATCAGAGACCCTGCGAATAAATAATTATTTTAGTCCATAGCTAGATGACCTAACATATTAATTGTAATTTAGTTCGTTAATATGTAAATGTTTTACATTGCGACACTCTTTTTGAATCCCATATCTGCCTGAGAGTCGAGATTGTAATCCATTGTTGTTTCTAAAAAGGCAATAAAACATCAATAATATTACTAATAGTAATCACTGCAAGTATAATAGTATGGTACAATGTATTCCACATTCACACATATCCATAGTAGTAGAGATTTTAATACTTACGACAAACTGTATTAAGAATAATATCTGATGCATAGTCCAAGATATCAAACGGTTGTGTTTTACCC